GACATTTTAAACCTTAATAAAAAAATCGATACAGGGCTTTAGAATATCGATACAGTATCGGGAAATGAAATATCGCGATATTTCAGTGTATCAATACTTTCTTARACCCCTAGAACTCATTCTCTTTATTGCTTTTTCCAGGTGGACTACAGTGGAGGCTTTGAGACGTTTAACACTTCCCGCTTTAGTCAGAAGTTTGTGGACCGCCTGGCTAACCCAAAAGACATCATTCACTTCCTCAGAAAGCGGGAGCAAAAGGAGGACATCAAAGGTCTGGCACAGACTAAATAGACTTTTGTTCATATTTAACCTGAAAAAAAATGTAATGTTTTTAATATCAAAGACAAAAGAAAAAAAAGTGTAAACTCGCGCTGCTGGTTTGGATTGATTCATTTACTGAAGTGTTTAGTTAAACTGGCCAGCTGATGGGTTTTTCATGTGATCTGTTTTATTCAATGAACTTTTCAGATGAGGTGAATGTTGACTATAGTAAGCTGATAAAACCAACTGCAGTTGAAGGGCTGAGAGTGGAGGACCTAGTCAAGCAGTACTTTGAGGCAGCTGAGCAGGTGTGTTAAACATATAAATGCATGCWGACATTATTATTCACAAGTAAACATTTTGTTTTTAATCCACTGTTTRGACTAAATGTGTGTTTTACAGAAGGTCCAGCTGTCCCTGCTGACTGAGCAGGGCATGGGAAAAGCCATTCAGGAGTTTGTAGACAAAGATGAGAGAGAGGCCATCGAGGAGCTCATCACCTACCAGTTAGAGAAGACACAGCGCCACCTTCAGACCAGAGGAGTAACTACAGAGCAGGATATAGATGCAGAGGCAAGACGGCGTCGCCGGCCATCCAGGTTGAACTGATCTCCATGTTGTTTGTTAACAATTAAAACTCACATTTGTATACTTTCAGATTCGGCTGTTCAGAGATTCCAAAAAGAACACGACTGAAGAAGAAAATGACATTAGAGAAGTAAGCAAAAGATTCACCCAAACTCTGAAACACTGCTCTAGCGCTGTTTAATACCTCTGTCTTTCTCAGGCCATCAATAGAGCCAAAGCTCACCGGAAGGAGCGTGGCAATAATAAAGATTACGATATGCCTGATGAGCTTGCGGATGTCGCCATGAYCTCTGATGATGATGATTCAGTTTCATTTGCTGCTCCCACACGAGGCAGAGGCCGAGGAGGGAGAGGAAGAGGTGGCCGAGGCAGGGGCAGAGGTGAGAATGCTGCACACATGTTCTCTGTGTCATTTTAATGGGATTGTTTTAAAGTGTTTTATAAGCACTTTGTATCGCCTTGCTGCTGAAAAGTGCTATATAAAAAATTCTACCTTGCCTTATACATAAAGCTGCATTGGATGTTACATTTAAAACACAAATAATCCCTGGCAGGTTGCAAACACTTTGAAAACATACAACATCTGTACTACCTGTGCAAAAGAATGCTGAAAAATATAAAACTTTGAGCAAAATTTAGCGATTCAATAGGTCATTATTACTTCACGAGTATCTATGCCTAACACTGCACAAAAGAGGTTATTAAAAGAAAATGTTGAGACAAAAATTCACAAACACACATAAAATGAATATGTTTTTGGACCATCTTGGTAGAAACCATTGAAGCCATATAACCATGGAAGAGTAATGGGACACATGGTTTCAAAAGCATAAACATCTTATATAAAWATGAACATTTCGTCTATTTTTACAATTTGTTTAATGCAGGTGAAGACCCTTTATTGATAACTCAAAATAATTGTAATGAACAGTTCTAACAGGCCTTTAAAATAAAACTTGATTGTTAATGTCAGTTCTTTAAAGTCCTTCAAGAGAAAGACAGACATCTTTGAGCCAAATCCTGTTTTGCATATGCAAATCAGTTGTCAGTTGATGTTTTTGTACTGGTCAGACAGGTTTTAATGACAGTATTTCTTTTCACATGCATAGAGCGTGATTTGGTTGTGGCAGCCGACAAGGACAATGTTGGTATTCCAACTTAAATCCTTTTTCCTCTGTCCATCCAGGTGCTACTGCRGCAGAAGCAAAACCAGCTGGTCGTGGTCGTCCCCAGAAATCAGCTGCAGCAAGCCAAAGCAGAAGCATCATGCAGGGTGGGGAGAGACTTATATGTCAGACATTTACAGATATTAAACAGAAATATAGTCAAACTGTCACCTTGACTCTTTCTTACTCTTTGGTCTGTTATCATTTCACAGCATTTCAGGTTGGACCTTCCAGATCTCAGGCTGGACCCAGCAGATCTTTTACAGCCGATGAAGTAAGTTGAATCATAAATATATTAAATATCACATCTTCATWGAAAGATATTGGCTGTGTTTTGAAATGTCAGTGAACAGGAACTCATTGAGATTGGAAGTTTTTGGATTAAATATTTATTTCCAAATGAGAATATTATTTTTTATTTGAGGTAATAAAGAACAAATCTAATTTAATTTCTAACAATTGTATATATTCACAGCTTGTTTAATGTTGACAGAATATGGATACACAAAAATCCTCAATTGCCTCTTTTTTATACTCCAAAATCRTCTTATCTCCTCTTTGACTGTCTGCAGATGATTATTGACTCGGATGAAGATATTCCTATGAGATCCACTAAGCCTCCTCAGAGGTTTGTTTGTGTTACGCATACTAGTTTATTTTTCAAAAAGAAAAAAAAAGCCWGATTTATAAATTATTTCTGTATTGTCCCTCCTGGCCGTACCTTATCTTAGGGCTGTGCGGTATATGCGGTAGACAGTAGAAACGGTATGAAGTTGGCCTATGGTAGAAATTTACCCTCTACCGTCCTATCGTCATTACGTCATCGCACCTGTGTGAACAGGGCTGCGAGTGCAGAGACAACTGGGCAGGAGTTCGAAATATAATGAAGAAATTCTAGCGTTTCAAAACACGTATAGAGAGAATAAATCCTCTAAATTTCCTCCTCTCGCTGTAGAAAAGTTACGTCGTGTCGCGGGATCATTTTCCTCTCCTCTCCTCTCCTCTCCTCTCCTCTCCTCTTGCTGCACGTCGTGCAGAGCGAAGCTTGAACAACTGTAGTTTTTCACACCCAATTGTCGGAGAAAAAAAATGTTTTTCATGTATTGTTATCCACAGAGATTATTAAAAAAAACATGTGGACGTTCGTTCAGTTGTAAATCCATCTTGCTAATGTAAAGTCGGCTTCTGCTCTGATGATGATGAAGATGAGTGCGCAGTAAAGCAGCAGCTGATAAGTTCAGCAGGCAGAAGCTCATTGTTTGGCAGGCAGATATTAAAGCAAAAATGTTGAGTTTGATCGATTACAGTTTTCTGCAAAAAAAAAAGCTCTAAAAATTACATTATCTTAACGTTTTATGATAATTTTCTACCGCGATATACCGTTACTGTGAAGGGGTTCAATTTATAACTTAATATGAATTTGAGGTCATGCCCAGCCCTACCTTATCTGTATTTTGTTTTTGCCTAACAGATCATCGTCATCATCAGCTTCTTTTTCGAGGTACAGTTCTCAAAGCCAGAGCCAGTCATCTCGAGGAGTTGCATTCGATGATAGTGATGAAGAGGAGGTAAATAAAACAGGATTAAAATACAATGGTATTGTGGTTATCTGAAGTTTAGACTCTGTTTTATTTGTGATTATCTGACCAGTAAAATAGTGAAAAGAATGAATGCAAATATGATTAAATCCCAAATAGTTGAAACCTTTGTACAAGCCCAATTCCAATTAAGTTAGGATATTGTGTAAAACATAAATAAAAGCAAAATATCAATATTTGCAAAGCCACTACATAAATAAAATATTTAATGGTTAAACGGATAAGCTTTGTTATTTTGCAAATATTCACTCATTTTGAATTTGATGCCTGCAACATGTTCCAAAAAGCTGGGTCATATTTACCACTGTGTTACATCACCATTTATTTTAACAACGCTCAGTGCTGACTTTTGATATTTGCGCTGATAACAATCCAGACAGTTCATGMTTCTTGCTTTTGAATGACTGAGCCTTTAGGCCATGTTCCTTTTTTTTTTTTTTTTACCCAATCATGACATTCACCTGTTTCCAATTAACCTGTTCACCTGTGCAACGCTCCAAACAGGTGTTTTTAAGCATTCCTCAACTTTCCTAATTTTTAGTCTTTTGTTGCCCCTGTCCCAGCTTTTCTGGAACGTGTCAGTGTCAAAATGAGTGAATATTTGCAAAGAAAACAAAGTTTATCCATTTGAACATTAAAATAATATGTCTTTGTAGAGTATTCAATTGAATATAGGTTGAAAAGTATTTGCTTATCACAGTTTTCTGTTTTTATTTGTATTACACAATGTCCCAACTTCACTGGAATTGGGGTTGTATTTTCTGAAAATTAACATTTAATGCTATAAAAAAACACACATGCAATCTTTTTATTTTTTGTTTAAATAGTTTTTGTTTTCTGTTTTGCTGCAGGATAATCCATTCAAAGGCTCCAGACATCCTTCCAGAAGATAAAATACAAACTGCTTCTGCATTCAAATGTCTTAATGTTTACAATATTGTTCAGCCATTCTTGCTTAAGKTGAAATGATCCAAATAATTTAATTCCTGATCAAAGGTTATTACTGTAATGTTTTTAGAAGGATGAGTGGAGCAAATACGAYCATTGTTTTTGTCTTTGCACCCTCCGAGGGTTTGCTGTTGCATGTTAACACTGTTCTGTGTGATTTCATTGACCTTTGTTGTTTTATAGGAAATAAAGTTTTTCTCTGTGATTTAAGTCTGTACTAGCCTTACCTTTCCATCATCTAAGTTTCTTCATATTAGTATTCAAACTGCTAAAAGTGATGCAAGTCACGTTTATCACTTACGTAGTACATCACTTCATTTAACTGTCATCATTAAGTATGGCCATTTGTAGTGATGTTATTAATGTTCTGAACAGCTTTTTAATATTTGGCTCCCTTCAAAAAGCTATATATCCCATTTTTGTTAATATGGTTTAGCAAAGTTTGTTTCTTTGGAGGAAGATGACAGAGAAAAACCCTGTTTCAGCACATTTTCAAGTAATACATTAAAAAAATCACTGATGTAGCAATGGTACTGTAAGAACTTTATTGCATTTAAAATTAGTTATTAAATTAAACCACCAAGACACATTTCATTGAAACTATAAAATTCATTCAAACTTATTTACAAAAAAAGTAATATTTCAGTGCAGAATATCAAGTCAAACTTGATTCGATTTTGTGAAGGAGTCAACATGTTCATTAAATTTACTTTGCTTCAGCTGGAATCACTTCAACATTTGATTAAGTGCAGAAATTTTTAACATTGTGGCTGAATTGTTCTTTTAACTGACGAGGGGAAAAAACTCCATTGAACATGAGTTTTTTGAAAGTGATACATTACATTGGAAGTCAGTAACTGACCCATCTTCACATCAAGTAACATACCCACTTAAAGTGCTGATATAAATAATTCTGCAGAAAGAAAGAGGTATTTCTTTCTTACAGCCCTGTTGCGTTATAAATGTTTACACAACTTATGCCAACTAGGAAAGTTTGTCATAACTAAATTACTCATAGTTTATATATTTGATCCAATTGTTAGTGTTACACTATGTACAGTATATGTCTAAAAGAGGCTTAGCTCTTTTTTGTTCCATCTTCAGCGTAGTTGTCTGTAGTGTTGGACACAATTTTCCTAAGTTGGCATGAATTGTCTAAAACTGTGACAAGGCTTTTAGTTATTCTTGTGAAGTATTAAAAGATTTTGAGGTTGAGTTACGGCATTTAAAAAACAAACAAAAAGTTAAAAACAAGTTCACTTCTGCAATCTGAACCTCAAGTGGCCAGTGCCAGATAAATAAACTTGTCCCCTGAGATAAGAAATTGAAATCGCACAAAGAACACCTGTAATACGTCTGTACATGTGCAGTGTTTATAGCTGCTGACTGTTTGTTTTTGCCACCAAACTTCCACTTTTTCCAGAGTTCTGTTATCTTTAAAAAACAACTATGCTAAAACAAAAGCTCGCTCTCAGTTTCACAGTCTGATGTTGACTGGACTGGAGTCCTGTGATGGTTTTGGTCACAGTTCACAACATCAAGGGTTTTTCTGGAAAGAAAGTAGAAATTGTTAAAAGGAAGGTAGTGAATGTTGGAATTCTTTCACATCTATAGTGTTAAAACTAAATTTCTTATGGTTCAGTGGCACTTACTTATACAGATATGTACTGTATGCAATACCTCAATGACTGTATAAATCCAGTTGAGCATCTCGTCTATGTTGGTGTAAACGCCGGGTCTGTTTCTCTCTGCGCAGCCGACACCCCAGCTCACAGCTCCAACCAGATTCCACTGAACGCCTGAGTCGTACACCAAAGGGCCCCCACTATCCCCCTGGAGTTCAAAACACAACACAAAGCTTAGATTAGGTGTGGGGGGAAAATAATTTAAAAACACAATAAGAGATGACTCTACTGGCTGTTTCTTTTATATTAACTATAATTCCTGAATCTGCGGTTTACTACCTGGCAGGCGTCCACACCTCCTCTCAAATTACCAGCGCAGATCATTCTTGATGTTATGGCACTACCGTAGATGCTTGGGCTGGAACATGTACTCCAGCTGATCAGATTGATATCAGCTTGCTGCAGTGTGGTAGGGGTCTTACCTGGAGGCAGAACAATGATAAAAGTTGAACATAGGCCGGTCCAAATTGAAAAAGTAGAAATCTAGGGTGTTTACTAGGTAGAAATATTAGTTTCTCACCATTTTCTTCCAGTAATCCCCAGCCTGTCACAACCAACGGGGCATTGTCAGCCATGTTGAGGTTTTTTGGAGGAAGACACACTGGCCTTTGTTTTTCTAAAGAAAATGAGCACTTTGAAAGTTGGAAACATTTCATTACAATATAAGTAATACAATACTGACCCATTCAGGATTGATATGTTGTATAAATTTAGACATACAGCACAAGATTAAATGATTAACTGATTCAATTGTCTCATATAAACTGGTTTGCATACTGACCACTAGAGGACAGAAAAGCCTACTGAATAAATACCCGAGTTAAGTTTGAGGAGTTGTATATTTAAACAGTTTAAAAGTTTGTAAAAATGAATGTCTAACCTCCCACTGAGATTGGGCTGCCCAGTCTCATCAGTGCAATATCGAAGTCGCTTCTGTCTGCGTCATATCTCCCATTTATTATGATCCTGTCCACCGAGGAACCCCCAGAGCTCATGTACGTCTGTCCTGACATCACTCTCCACCGACTCAGCTCCCTTTTATTTCTGCGAGGACCACAGGAAGATGCGGGAGAGATGGTTCACGATGTTAGTGGCAAACCAGATATTCAAAAGAAACGATGTACAGGGTGATCATACTGACTCAGGGAAGCAGTGGGCAGCGGTGGCGACCCAGCGGGGCGACACCAGTGAACCTCCACACGTATGATGGCCATTTTGCTGCAGGCTGACCTGCCAGGGCCAGTGCTTGATGTCAGCATCTATGCCCCCAACGATACGGTCCTGAGCGCCCACCTGTCCACAGTCTGATAAATGAAACAATTGGGTTTTTTTCATTTTCAACAATATACTTCAAATAACATTGTTTATTTTGTTCATTTTTCTCTTTCGACACTGCTTTTCAAATCCCATTTTTCCATGTACTGACTTTTGAGCTTGAGAAAAAAAGTTAACCTCTGTTATTGTTGGCGTGTACAGACATGTGTGAGTGAAACTAGTCACAGTATCATCCACTCCTGACCCCCATTCCATCTTGTTGAAACCCGTAAACCGTGTTAGTGACTGTGGTTTTTCTAAAAGCAAAACGTACCTGAACAAGTCAAAGAGATCACAGATCCTGTTTTGCACTGTTTGCTGTTAAGAAAAAAAAAAAAAACAAGTCAGAAACAATTTAAATCCAAAAAATACCCAACTAACCAAACAGAAAGTAAATAGCTCCATTCCCCCTGACCTAATCTTGCATCATGTTGAACTTCGTCCTTGTTCTACTTTGATTTGGTAAAGCACCCATTTTGTTCGCTTTCACAAAGGATAAGGCATGAGGAAGAAACATGTTGTGTTTTATTCTTTTTAGGAACAGAAACTCTGAGAAAACACTGTCCCAGCCCAAAAGAGAAACTGAGAACTGAAGTGGAAATTCTTCTTGATAAATAGAAATTGTGACGGATAAGATTATTAATAACTTTAACTGTACTTTTAGCTTTCCTTTACAAGATTAAGTCATGTTTCAGTCCACTGAGGTGGACCGATATGTGTGACCACAACTTTGTAAGAGTGATCTTAACACCACATCTTAAAAAAAACCCTGCTCATTTGCCGTTACAATGTTCTTTTATGATAACATATATGGTTTATTTCTCACATATCAAATGTAGCCTCCTGTATAGGTGTGCTCGTAGTCCCAGGTCTGACAGCACTGAAAGGTCCGGTCAAAGATAAATTGCTCACTGGGACATTGATGCTTCTGGGTTTACTGTGAAAACAAAATGAGGGTTTTGCTAGTCATGACTTGAGGCCAAACAAGCAATTGATTTAATACTGCATCATCGGGGAAGAAATATTTACTTTGTGTATCCCAGTTGTGTACAAGCGGTCTGTGTGTGTTGCGAAGTCCAGTCATCACCGCACACGCTCTGCCAACCTGAACTCGKCGTGTACACTTGGAGGATATTCTGAACTGAAAAGAGGCGCACTGAAAGGAGAGGGTTGACACAGAGAGGAAAAATTAGTCACTTCCAACTTTTGTTTTTTATCTGAAGACCAAGTGAGAAGGTGTCAGGTGTTGGTCCAACCTGGAAATGTACTGTTTTCTTTGTAATTAGATAAACAATTGAGTTCATCTTCTCCCCCACTGCAGTCTTTCTTCCCGTCACAGGTTAGCTCGAGTGGAATGAACTTCAATGATTTCGAGCAGAAGAAGTACTTGGATTCAATGAGCTGTTTAACTGAAGGAAAAGGGAGTGAGACAATGGAAGTAACGGGCAGGTTAGGAATGTATTTCAGGGAGGCAATTTAATATGCAGTCAAGTTTAGACTTCCATTCTCTCAAATGAAAGCCAGTCAAACAAAAGTAGAAATGCACCATTTGAAGTTTTCTACATGGATTCTGTTTTAAGATTAAAAAAAAAAAACACATCCCGTGTCCAAATTAAACCATCTCCTGTCTAAAAAATACCTTTAAATTTGTGCAGAACTAACACTTTAAATGTGAATGTACAATTTTTTTTTTACTGAAAATCTAAGTTTTATATTTTCTCTTAAAAAGTGCCAGTTTCCAGAGGTTCCTTTTCCTCTGGAAAGCCACAAATTTCATCATCATGTTTAACTGAATGAGAAAACTTTCACCAGCATCCAGCTATATTTTCAAAAAAAAAAAAAAAAAAAAAAAAGAAAAGAAAAAAGAAAAAACTGAACTTCCACACCAAAGACATCCTATTGTTAGTGGGAATAGGCTGCTTAGCAATGGTGGGTTTTATGTCTTTTACAGTTTATCAGTCCAGATGAAAAATCATCCATTTCCAGTTGCTAGCTAAATATTTGGTTGGTTTGAAATTATGTGGCATATGTTTGCACTTTCAAAGCCAACAACTTACCAAAATATGCTATTGTGGCCAGTGTGCCCAGTAGAACTACAACTGTCACAGTAATCAGCAATATTTTCCTCCTCTTCGACGCCTTGCCTGCCTGAGGTTTCGGGACCGACATGGGCTTTCTGTGGTGACCTGGACGTGGAACTCGAACAGGAACGCTAATGGGAACTGGAACTGGAACTGGAACTGGAATGGTAGAAGAAAAATGAAAAAGACAGGAGTTGGGATGTGAGACCGCAGAACAGAATACACAGAAAATAAAAATAAATAACAAGATCATTAGAGAGAGAGTTAGAAAATAAAAACTTACTATGTTTGAAAATGCATGAATGCAAATAATGACTGAAAAACAAAAGTGACAGGTATCTTACCCCCTTGGCTGGGATTCAAAGGTCTGGAGCTTTCCTCTGTTAAATCAGTGGGTTTCTGATGACAGAAAAACCGACATAAGTTGAGCAAAGGTGTTGTTAAAACATTGTACAAAGACAGGTTTGAGTGAAGGACTAAAAATACAACAGTGGAATTGTTTTAATTGTATGTGTTTGGATACACTTTCTTATTGCAGGAATAAACTGCATTTACCAGTCCACAAACACAACATTGAACATAGACATCAGCAAAATAGGTGTAAACTTGAGTAACCAGGAGAGGTGTCAGACAGGATTACCAGTTACGCATTCATGGAAAAAAAGAGTTTTGTGCAATACTGAGTTGTCACATTACAACCATGTGACTTTCTGGGCATTATCATGACTCCAACTGCTGCAGGTAGTTTCTGTGTTACTCAACAGATTTCTAAGGTTACCACTAAACAAGCAGCTTTCGTTGCTCAGAATAATGTGGCAGTGTCTGTTAGCACCTTGAGGGTTTTACTGTCAAATGCAGCAGATGTTGTGGGGACACACACACACACACAAAAACACACTGTCATGTTGCAAGATGGAAAATAGGAGTAACCACTCTTTAACCACAGGAATTACAGGATGAAGACTTAATATTACGTGAGCATCATTTGGCATGACATAACTAAATTACAGTCACATGATCATTTCAGTATGCGTGAGAAAAAGTTTTTGTAGCCACCTGTGTTCAAGGAAACTGTTGAGAGTTTGATACGTTAAAAAGCTTGCATACACTTCTAATGTATGTAACATCTCCAAAGATGCTTTTGTACTACTAATGTACCTCTAAAAAATGAGGAATGAAGAAAAAAATTTATGCCAATACTTATACACTATGTTACGTTATATTCCTGTTTCTCTGCCTTACACACGCTACAAAAGAAATCTACTTTTTTGAAATTAGACTTAAACACAAACACACAAATTGCTAAAGCAGGACCAACAAGAAAAAGCTTTGAGTGCCTGTGAGACCCACCTTTAGGTAAACTTTATAGTTACCATTGGGGAGCTTCTTTAACAACATCTTTGTGTTAATTGAAGACAGAGGGTGTGGTCAAAATGTCCAAACATAGGTATTTGTATTTACTCTCCTGCTTTTTGATTGGTTTATCTACAAACTGAGATAACTTCTATTGGCTACCAATCCTAACTGACATTGTTTTCCACCAATGTTGGGTTTCAGATGGGTTGGTTCAGCAGAAGGGATTGGAATTTTGTCTCTTTTCTGGGATTTGATTCATGTGGCTCAGTTCACCAAAAAGAATTGTTTTTTTCTTCTTCTCCAAAACAGTTCTTCATTTAGTCTTGTACTGCTGTTAGCTGCACCATGTTTGGATATTTATTAGTAAATGTGCATACCATTAACATTTATTATAATACGAGACCAAATTTTCTCCACCTTTTCTTGATGAAGGGAATTGAAGCTTTTAGTGTAGTTATGTTAAAAACTAGTATGGTGTTGCTGAAAGTGTATAAACCATAATTTTATTTTTTATAGGATTAGGGAAAACTAAAAGATAAGGAGATTGTTTCAGATTTTAAACTGTTAAACTCTTATCATGATGAGGCATACTGGTTTATCATTTAATATGATATATATATATATATATATATATATATATATATATATATATAAACTTTATTGTAACATTGATTAATTTTGCTGATTAAACCATGGAACACAAAATCTTTCCATTGTTTTTCTGAAATCGGACACTTTCTGACTGGAGGCAAAACAGAGTCACATTAATAGATATGAAAAAGGGAAGCCTGTACACAAACACACAGGTGTACTGTTTTGATGAGGTGTTTCTGTGCGGATCTAAAAATTTCCACATCCTGAGTCATGGTTTTGTTTTTCACAGAACTCGAGTGGGTGGCTTCCAATAACTGGGATCTCTTTTGCAGCCAGTGTTGTGCTGGTAAATTTCCCAACATTTTAACCTCTATGGACACCAAACCTCTTGACAAACCTGTCTGGTCTGTTCTCTCTCTCTCTCTCTCTCTCTCTCTCTCTCTCTCTCTCTCTCTCTCTCTCTCT